AGATGAACTGTAAGCGGGAATCACAACATTGAGAAGGTTGTTGAACTTAGGACCAGGGCCCTTCTTAATAATGACAATTGATGGTTCTTTGTCAATTCGTTAATCTTGGCCGCCACCTTTTCCAATAGGAGTGCATCTTGAAAGGCCGCACAATCAGTGAGGGATACCTGTGCCCCTAGTAACCTTTCTGCTGCATTTTCAGGGATTCGCCGGAGCCCCCAATCTACCTCCAGATCGAAAACTTAAGGCAGAAAGTACACCGATTTCTCCCAGTTAATATAGGTCTCCGATAGATCACAATGAACATCCAAAACTTCTTTTAATTCACCCAAGGCCTCAGCATCATTGACGCAAGCCACAATTAAATCGTCCGCTATGGCCCCTCATTTCCAATGGATCCTTGGAAGGAGGTGTTGTCCAACGATCTTAGGATTATGTTTAATATTAAACAACAAAACTTCTAATTGCGCAACAAATAATAAAAGGGCTAACGGACAACTCTGCCAAAGCGAGCTAGTCAAAAGAAACTCAGATGACAGTTGACTATTCACCACCACAACCGAGGAGGCTTCCGTGTACATCGCCTTCGCCCATCTGCAAAAGCCCCCCGTCAACCCCATTTTGTCTAGTGTCGTGAAAACAAAAACCCGCCCGACTTTATCATACACTTTCTCCATGTTCAGCAGTAACACGACCACATTCTTTTGTTCCCTGCCTATAACCTCAAGGACTTGGATCGACGACAAAATGCTCTCAAATATGGACCTCTTTTTTACAAAGGCGCCCTGCTCTTTCCCAACCAATCTTGGTAAAAATTCAGGAAGTCTGGTTGCAAGAGTCTTTACCAATATTTTATAAGCTACGTTCAAAACTTAAATTGGCCTATAATTTTTTACCCTCTTATCCCTTTTTTTATAGAGGAGGTAGATTGCTCCAGTTAACCAAGTTTTAGGTAATTGGCCTGTTAACTGACAACTGTTAAAAACTTGACATAGGAAGGGAGCAAAGGCCTCCCAGGTGCTCAAGAACAATTCCACTGGGATCCTATCCAACCCCGAGCATTTCCCTTTAGCCATATTCTTAGCTGCTTTATATAGTTCCAACGTAGTGAAGGGGGCATCTAACTTTCACAAAAGCCGCATTGGAAAGAACAAAGAAAAATGCACTTCTGGATCAATGAAAAGGTGCATTACCTTCCAAACAACTCCACTTTTTTTATCAATGAAATGGTCTATCACTTCAACCTCCAGATCTATGTTAATCAAAATGGCCACCTCACCCTTTGTCCCTTCTGCAAGGGCCCAAAACTGGGGCCCCTTCCACCAATTCCTTGCGGTCTCGATATTTTCTGAGTTCAATTTAGTTTCTTGCAAACATGCAATATATATGTTATTTGTGTGCATGAATGCTACCAAGTTTCATTTTTTATTCCTATTTGAGGTATCCTCCATTCCTCGCACAGTCCAGGATAATAATCTAATCTTGCTCAACAATACCATCCTCGTGGCCATTGCTGCCTGCACATTGGATGCGGTTATCAGTAGGGACCAGGTTTGATTCAGGGTCATCCTGCTCCAACTTTTCCTGAACGCCTGAGTCTATGTCCCATTCATAAATGACTGGGCCACTTGGAGGGATCTGTGATAGGGCGTCTGCGTGGTTTAACCAGTCAGCCACTTGTTGGGCATCCATATCATTCCCCAACCGGATGCCTCTCAAAAAAATTGCATCTGACGCAAAAAGAGGGATCGACGGAATCCAGTGAGAATGAATTTGTAACCATTGTTCCTTTGTGTCCTCCAAGGAAATCAAACTCAGAAACGCAAAGTGTAGGATTTTATTTTCCCCATCTTGTATTTTCACCAAGTGTCTGCCCATCCTTGGTTCTTGCAACAGAGTAACAGATCTCATGCCTTTCAATATTACCGACTGTGTCAGGCTTAACACTTTATTTTCAGTTGGTAGGGTTTGCACAGGCACAACTGGTAGTTCCAAGGATTCATTGGTTGACTGGGCTGTGAGAAAACACAGACCCAATTGAGTGGTCGTACATATCAGTGCGACCAAGATTTGTTTCACTGTTTTGCAAAGTTTGTCCTTGCGGTTCAACGTCTGCATTGGCGCAACGAAACTTAACCTTGAGTCACTACCGAAATACTTACGGAAGAAACCCGAACCGTCGATTAACCGACTTTTCTTTGTCGGATCAGGTTTGAAAATCGCGGAACCATACCCTTTTTGGCCATTCAACAGTCTCACCTGTGGTTTCGGGACTGACTTCTTCTTCCTTTTCCCACTTTTCTGGTCCCTTCTTCCTACCTTATCCACTGCATTGAATAGTAGGTTAATTTTCCTTCATCTACTCGGGTTTTATCCTCCTGCAACCCACCAACCTCTTTCTCAGCATTTTCTCTTATTTCCATACCCTATGAATTCCCTTCCGAATTTAGGAGAGGGGTAGGATTTTGTTGCGAGGGAATCTGTTTTTTTGCAGAGAACCCCAAGGCCTCCAAGTCCAGTTTTTCCACTATTTCTATTAGGTCTTGGCCCTGGTTATTCCTCAGTCCACCGGTTTCACTACCAGATTCACTATTCTCTGCCAACTTCAGAGGATCCACTTCTTCTCCCGGCTTAACCCCATCTTTCCCTGAAGATCTAACATCATCATGCTCCTGCCCTGCCCCCTCCCTCTTCCCCATCTCCCTTTCCCCTTCCTCCAGCAGCTTTGGATCCTCTCTTTCCTTCCTCTTCCCCTGTTCGTTAGTTATTCCTTCGCTCTGGGGAGATATCGGTTTTAAATCGTCCGCCTCCTTCTCCTTGGGGTTCAATTTCCCCCCCCCCTTTTTTCTTCCACTTCGGACGTCGGACCTTCCCTGTTTTTAACTTTGACTTAGAACGCTCGGTAGGTGAGGGTTTCCTTATCCTTCGCCGCATCTTTCTCATGAGAGATAAAGTCGCCTTCCTTATCTACTCGCACTTCCTTGCCTTTCCCATTATCTTTTGTCTCTCCTTTTCCTCCCGTGTTCTCTTCTCCTTCGTTACCACTTTCTTATATTTCTCGTTCCGAGGACAATCTTTGTCCGAGTCAGTGTGAAAGAATCTTCTGCACAGACTGCACCGCGGCGTATCTGTGCAGACGACTTCAATCTCCACGTAACCGTACTCACCCATGTCGACTACCAACAACTTTTCATAATTAAGCCTGGGCGACGGGGTCAAGTCGAAACAAATATTCCAGAGGTCCAGTGAAATAGGGTCCGAAAAAACTGGTGTGACGCGCAGAACGGTTGCGAACCCCTTTATCATTGCCCCCCTAATATGGGGGAGCACCGAGACCGGTACCTGAAGCAATCTAATCCAGAAGAAAGGAAAACCCATGGCTACATTCCATTCACATAATTGATTTTCTGTCATCCACGACTTAAAGGACAATAAGTACTTTTTGTTATCCAAATTAATTATATCCTGTCCCTTTCACAACATCCAGACAGCTATCTCTTGTGAACTTGTGATGTACGTCACCAGATTGCGTCTTTCGTGTTTAAACACTTCCCTCTTCGGAGGAGCATTCAATACCCCAGCTTTGGCCCAACCTGCTTCGTAAATTCTCACCAATTTATTTTTGACCTTCACGGACACTGTTGAAAGGTCATCCCCAAAGTGGATTAAAACCGCGTGCTGATGTAACCAATTTGCTTGGATTTCAAAAAATTATTTGTTAACCATTACTCGTACGTGGTCTGGGTCTATCTCCACTACTTGAGGGATTAAATTTTCCGAAAGGATTTCTTTTGCATAGCAATCTTCCAACATTTCTTTTATTCTTTGCTTGTTTTCCCCTGTCAGTGGAGTTGGACCAGAACCTTCCCCTTCCTTAGTGGTCATTTCAACTACCTCGAAAATCACTACAAATACCCTGAACGACAAACACAAAACAACCAAGCTATACCTCGAAAACATAAGCCCTGCAGCGGAGGCACGGCAGATGCTCCCAACGTCATCGTCAACAACGCGAGGTCGTATTGAAACGAGATTACCCAAGCACAGTCAATCAGAGAGCTCGGCGAGGCACGACAAATGCTCCAGGTCTTCTGCTAAGAACTTGTGTCTTGACGATCAGAACGACCTCCTCTCCTCAATAGCAAGATGAATTCACCCATCTGATCCAACTGCTGAAGCTAGGATCCCCTCCTTACCACGCCCACACCAGGCTCCAAGAACTCCCCTCCGATGTCGTAGCTATGGGCGTCCACTTCTTTTAACCCTAGCTCTAATTTTCCTCGCGGTGCTAATCCCTAGGGAATTAGCGCCGGGAGGGAAAATTAGCGCTAGATACGATTAGCGCATCCCTTCCGTCCCGTTTTCGTGCCCTCCCTCCGTATTCATTTTCAAATAGCTTGGCAGGGTTTTTCGGTGACGAGTTCAAATAATCGAATTGATTTGGGACCGGGGGCTCCCGGACCACTTGGACACAGGGAGAGGATGGGGCTATATAGCTCAAGCGGCGCGTCCGGTTGGATGTGAGGTGATTTGGAAGGAATGAAACCGACGAGTATACAACCGAGAACTGAAAAAGTCTGACACCTTTGGGAAAACGCCTTCATTCGAAAGGCTGTGTGGCGATCCCCTATGTCCAAAATCGGTCGAAAAGTGTGTGTGAACTCGTGGACTGCGACAGACACGCTCCAACAAGATGATCCCTTCGGGAGAGAGAGGAGCTCCGGATCAGCGCGCGCGCGAAACAGCCAAAAACGAGTATATCCGATCTGTATCGGGTCTGATTTTAGCGTATTATTCAAAAGGTTAATAACAGCCACCCACGGTTTCGTCTCGGGGTCGTTGTTGCTGGTGATTGGTACCGAGTGTTGATAGGGCCTCGCCGCCCTACTTACGGAATGTGCAAAATAGAGCACGTATCATGTGCACTATCATAGAAAGATGCAGCCCCCACTTTTTCACATTCCGTGAGTTGTGCGGCGATAAAGAAGCCCGTAGCCCGGGGGTGTTGTTTGTCGCCTGTGCGCATTTGTCTGCTCTCTTGACGACGCATGTACATTTGGGATATCATTTCTCGCGTTTTCGTCATTTGTCGGTTTTCGACTATCTGGCGCAATAAGTGGTGAAAGAACCATCAGCCATCTGCTGTGAAACAAGGAGAGAAGCAGAGAAGAGAGAGAGGAGAGAGAGAGAGGTCCCGCCGACTTCCGGGAGGTTGTCGTGGCTGCGCGATTCTGCGGAGTCGTGACGGCCATCGCTGACCTCTCGGCTGTGGGTGATTCCAACCACCGTTTCTTTCTTGCTTCTCTCTGTCTGTCTCTCTCTCTCTCTCTCTCGCTCGCGCCCTCTCTGTGCGGCCATATACGTCCAGGAAAGTGCTATCTGTACTCTCTTACGTGCGTGGTTTCGTCCCTTCGGTCGTTCTTGCAAGGCGGACAAGAAGATGGCAGCGGCGGGGGAGAAGAAGCCGATGAGCGCCGGGGCAGCGATCTGGGCAACGGCGAAGCCTTTCGTAAATGGGGGCTTGTCGGGCATGGGCGCCACGTGTGTCATTCAGCCAATTGATATGGTTAAGGTACGAACGAGAGACCCAATTGTAACGTCATTCTCGCGTTTTCGAATAAACAACAATCTACCTGTTTACTTTATCTTATCTCATCTTATCTTATATCAATCTGTTCATGTGTGTATGTGTGTATATATGTGCGTATGTTTTATTATTACTGTTTTCCCAGTATTTATGTGAATTCCTTCAGGACTACCTCTAGAATCTTCGTTGCGGATATTTCCATCACGTTTTTTCGTTCGTCCAGCTCCCTCCCTACCTCCCTCCCTCCATCCCTCCCTCCCTCCCTCTCTCCTTTGTTGAGGTTGAGCGGTCGTAGTTGGGTGGCGAGCAATTGGCAGCATAACTGTGTGCGTTGTCCCTCCTCCCTCCCTCTCTCCTTTGTTGAGGTTGAGCGGTCGTAGTTGGGTGGCGAGCAATTGGCAGCATAACTGTGTGCGTTGTCCCTCCACCCCCTTGAGCCCGCACGTTTACTTTGCTTTTCTTCGTGTTGCGTCGCCTAGAGGAGATGTGAGTAATGAATGCGGGGGCGCGCGCGCGCGCTGTGCACCGTGTTGGTGAAATGCAAGGGAGGTGAACACTCGCGCGCGCGCGCACCGTGTAGGTGAAATGCAAGGAAGGTGAACACGCGCGCGCGCGCGCACTTCCCGGGGTAGGTGAAATGGAATGGAAGGAACGCGCGCGCGCGCGCGATGTCATTGTCTCATTGTATTTTTGGCTCCCGTCTACAGCATTGCTTGATTTTACAATCCTGGCGCCGTCTTGACCGCGTGGCCCGATCTTCAATCGAGAGGGAGGGAAATGCAGTAGCGCCGTATAATAGATCTGTTTCCGTCTGTTTGTATGCTTCTTTCTATCTGTTTGTCTGTGTCTGTCTTTTTATCCGTTAGTATCTGTGTTTGTCTGTGTTCGTGTTTGTGTGTGTGTGTGTGTGTGTGTGTGTGTGTGTGTGTGTGTGTGTGTGTGTGTGTGTGTCTGCCTCTCTGTTGTGGGCCTCTCTGTTGTCTGCCTCTCTGTGTTTGTGTGTTTATCTATTCGTGGGCCTCGGGCTACTAGACAACACTACATGACTTTGGACCCTTTCAACACTCTACATGAATTTGGACGCTTTCAACACTGTACATGAATTTGGACACTTTCAACACTACATGAATCTGGACGTTGTCTTGACCCCCCGTGCATTCAACATGTTGAACTCGTCCGAATGCACATGGCCCAGGCAGCGTCCGAATGCTTGTAGAGAATTGTGTAATGGAGCGAGTTCCTGGACCTGTGTCTTTCTGTGTGTCTGTCTGTCTTTGTACCTGTGCTTGTCTGTCTGTGTCTTTCCGATTTTGTCCGGCTATGGTCTCGCTCCTCTACTTACCACATGCACCAAGTCGAGAAATATGGCCGTGTATCTTTCCACGTTCTAGAGGAAGATGTACTCTCATTTTGCACGTTTGGTGAGTAGTGGAGCGAGGCCAATCTGTTGTATCTGTGTCTGTCTGTCTGTATCTCTGTGTTTGTCTCTGTCCCTGTTTGCCTGTTTGTTTCTTTGTCGCTCTCTTCCTCTCTCTCTCTCTGTCTGTCTGTCTGTCTTTCCTTTCTTTTTTTTCTAATGTTGTTCTTATTTCCTTTTCCTGTCTCGATGGAATGAAATATCCATGAAACGATTTTTTTTTTTTTTTTTTTTTTTTTTTGGTGGGACGGTTGTTCGTTTTCTGATTCGTATTTTCCTCTGCAGCGTTGGACATCGGTCCCCTACGCAACATTTGAAATGTAACTGGACCTGGTTTCGGTCCCATTGCGTTCAAATGCTTGATTGGTCAGAACGTCTCTGGCCCACTTTTCTATCCGGATACGTGTCGGACGCTGAGTAGCGGAGCGAGGCCTATTTATCTCTGCTCGATTTGACATTATCATGGGCAATTTGTCTGTCTTTTCGCAGTGCTCGCCAAACATCAACATTTGTTTTGTTTTTATTTGTTTTTACTGCATCGGGTCAGTAACAGGTCTCGATACATTCAATATGTTGGCGTCTATCCGTCCGTCTCCTTACCACACTCCTAAGAAAACTGGCTCTGAGAAGAATGGAAACTACCGTCTTCACCCGAATAGAACGTTCCCCCGCGTGATTATCTCTTTCTCGAGTGAAAGGTGCCCCAAATGCAGATATGATGGCCAGGGGTTCTATTCGGGCGAAGACGATAGGCATAATCGTTTTGTCGGTGCGTCGTGTCTGTTTCTGCCCCTCTCCTGCCTCTCTCTTTTTTTTTTTTTTCCCCTTCCTTTTTTTTACTTCCTCATTTTTTGTCCCCTTTCTATCTTTCCAATTTTAATGGATGTCCCGAAGGACCATCCATCGTGTTTGGTCTGTTTCGTTGGCGCGCGTTTTTTTTCTTAATAACAGAAATCCTGGTCTGGGCCTCTTTTTGGAAACGTGATTTAATTTTAGTTTTTTTTTTTTTTTGGCTCTTGGCTATCATGATGGTCTCGTTTTTAACAGGTCCGCATTCAACTGGGTCAAGGTTCTGCCGTCTCCGTGACAAAGGACATTATCGCTAAGGAAGGATTTGGCGCGCTTTACAAGGTGAGAGAGAGAGCGAGAGCAGTGGTTGATTGATTGATTGTGTGAGTGGGTGGGTGATTAAGCTTTTGGCGGGAAAGGATGTGAGAGGTAATGAATGTTGTTTGGCCGGTTATCAGCCACAGCCACGTAAACCATATATACTCGCACGTCATATTAAAACAAAAAATCGCTAAGTACATGCAGGAAGTGTGGTGTCTGTGTTCCCCTGCATTTGTCGGCACAACTAAGGAAAAAATTAAAGTACCTAGTCGTATTTCCCTGTATATACTGCCTGCTACCGGTAGTTCCTTATTTTTGTGGTGTTTTTTATATTGCACAACGGTCGGCACAATTGACAAAAAGAATTCGGCCGTAGTTCCGCTCAGGTACATGTAGGAAATGTGGTGTGCACATCCCCTTCTTTTAATGGATGATGTGTCCCCGCCATTGCCCGATGCGCTGCGCTTTTTGTCAATAAATCTATTTGAAAAAAAAAAGACGGCGGACGGCAAGGATGAACTGATACAACGGATGGATGGAGAGAGAGAGAGAGAGAGAGAGAGAGAGAGGTGTTGGTGTTGGCCCAGCATGTGCGAGTCGGTCTTTTCAATAGTCAATTTAGCGTGATAGTCA